TAGGCAGCGCCATTCAAAATCTGCACTGTCTGAGCTTCAAGAGCATGCCGGCTCGCTTCCCCCGCCTGCGCGTCCTGAAGTATTTGATCAGCGCCACTGCTTCGCCAAATACAATGTCCAGCAAAACATCTGAATAGTCGAAAACCGGTGAAATATTGGGTGGTATGTGCTGCCGAATGTCCAGCAAATCGTCTCTGATGAAACTGATTGCAGGGATATAACTAAAGACAGGACAAACTAACAAAAACATGGATTTTGTGGGTTTGGTGTAAAAAAATAATTTTTTCCCCGTGTGTCCTCCAAACTGACACACAAATCAGTTTAAGAACCTGTCGCACAGATCGATGCATTGTCTGTAGCTCATCGTGTCCGCTTGAGAGGAGTGAGAACTGCTCTTAAAAAGTAGCTAAGAACACGACACAATGCAACAGATAATCCACTTCCTGAAGAAAATGAAATCTGATGAATTCGTGTGTAACACGCTGATATGAACATATACATGATTTATTCTCGTGGCGGTGCTAGCTGCTACTGCCCAATAAAATGGCATGATGTATAAGGGCTTCAGATATTCATCACACCGAAGGTGTTCCCATAGCAAAAGCTATCACCGCATAAGTGAACCAATGAAAGAGAACCACCACAGCATCTCGTCTCCATTGGCAACACACAAGTGTTGCAAGTGACGAAGCAGATAGAGGAGAGTACAGGTAGCGATTGCAACTGACATTGTGATTTTGTTTCTTTTTTTCTTGTCTTCACCACCTGGATACTGTTGTAAAATGTTGAGAGATTCAAAAAAAAAAAATATTGGAATCATCACTAATTCCTCTCTGTGCTGTGATTTCTTCCTCCCTGCAAAATTATTAAACACAAAAGCATTTACTGAGCTCTCATGATCGTTACAGATCAATGTGAATCATCAGATTGTCAAGTCACCTTTATTTCTATAGCACTTTATACAATACAGATTGTGTCAAAGCAGCTTTACAGTGTTAAACAGGAAAAACTTGTGCTGATAATGCAAGAGGACAATAGAGTCAGTTTTCAGTTAAGGTCAGTTCATTGTTGATTCAGTGATGTCTATTAGAGATTGGACATTTGACACCGAGGCTCCGAAGCCTGTTTTACTCTATTGAAGCAAACTGGTTTGAAAGACTGTGTCGGGGCTTGTATCAAATCTCCGTGATCACGTGACCGATGACGTTTGAGGCTTCATACGTCACAATGAAACACCTAAAGCGAGGTGACTGATTCGAATCTTTGACGTGGCTTCATTCATTATAAGGAGACGTGAAATGCTTGGTGTTCCTATTGTGTAATTTTATTGAAGTATTATGTGAAAATGAAAGTA